AAATTGTATTTGCACCTGGTATTTTTCTTCTTAGCCCCTTCCTTTCGTTTCCAGCAGTAAATATGTAGAATCATTGCACCACCGCTAAATTTCTGTGCGATTGACATTCGTATAATTGGCTCGAGTACCAAAATTCAGCGACAAGCGATCAATTCTAAATTGTCGGCTATACTGATACATTTTTACGGGTGTGGTAGCCTTACCAACCATTCATCCACATACTTTCATCATGTTGACCGTGCTGTCAAGAATCGTTAGTATCGCGTACCCGATTCTCACATGATCCGTTTCATCGAGCGTCTATAATTGAAAGGCGGTAATAATGGGAGGAGAAGGCAACAACACTATTTCTTCACAAAAATTGCTCTTGTATTGTTACCTTTCCATCACTCGTGGATCGCATGAAAGCACGTGATCACTACGGCATGATATTGGATTTGAGCTAAGAATACCGTTCAAATACTCACACAATCGCCACTACACTATGGCGCAAGTGACAACGCTATCTTACCTAAGTGGTCCTGGTAAGTAGTAATAAGCCGTACACACTTTCTTTAATCGACAAGATACTAAATACGAATACATGCCATCTATACATGCGCTAAAAATTGACAAAACGATATAAATGTAGGCAGAATGTTAAGCAATCATACACGCGCCAAGATCATCATAGCCATTCACCGTCACTTCGTTTTTTTTCATATGCCGTCCTCATTTTCTAGGCATAGCCAATAGACAGAATTCTTGTCATACCTAATAAGACGAATCCAAATCTTTTGCGAGTCGTACGTCACTTTCATGCCGTCTAAGGCATGTTTTGGTTTCAGGGACATCGTAGACATTGTGTCGAGAAAAACAAGCTTGGGCGTGACAGAACTTTCTATCGGCACATTGGCGGAGAGTGTTACTACAGCACACTTACCATGTTGCAACGTACAATAATTGGACCGCGTGACGTCTGCTTTATAGTTTATTTGTTTGATATTAGATCGGGAGCGACGCTTACCACGTTAAATAAAACGGTTTCAGGTGCTGAATGTAGTCCTCGCAACTAATTTTAATGACTCCAATTGTCATCTTGCAGATGATTTGCACAGATCATTGATACGGTGGCATCGATAGTTTCTGTACTTGGGCCTGATCACCGATACAATATAAGTGTTTCTGGGTGATTTCAAACAGCCAGAGCGATTCTCTCGCTTGTATACCGAGCTCGATTACGCAAGCGGTACGCGCTGCTGTATAGTATGTAGCGTGCTCGAATGCGATTGTAATGTTTGCATGGCGTTGTGATTCGTCATGACTGACATCGAATGTATTTAGTTCTGTACAATCCATAACACTTTTTATCGGATAAAGCAACCGGTTGCATGGCCAAATCCTATAAGGGTCACCTATTTTACAGACAAATAGAGGCATCTCGCTTGCTCGACTTCAATATATTTAACATCACACAAATGTGTAACATGCAATAGCTTTCTTTCACTTACTCATCCTTTCAATATTGCTGAAGGTCCCCTGTCACAAGTGATTTTTGCCGCTGTGAACCATCGTGTCAAGCAGCAGCAACGAAGTTCTGAATCCAGAAATGTGCGTCACCGGCAATTGTAAGACTTCAGATCGCAAGATCGATACATGGCAGCTTTGCGCTCGTCAAGCAAAGCCTTCTTATAAATCGACCTGTCTATCGACGCAGTATACTGGCACGATGTAGTGCGGCATTTACGCACATAATATCGATACTCAAGATACCACCACTCCAATTCATTAGATCGCATATATTGTGAATCTTTTGTGATATTAGCTTGACTATCGTGAGCATGCTAAGCGCTCCATTTTTTGCAACTTGCTACCATGAATTCGCACGTTTAACCACCTCATGCCAGACAACCATGCTCTGGCAGAATGTGTAGCCCAAGCTGTTTTTTATGACGTGAGACGACCGGGTCGTTGGGGCACGCCAATAAGAGCAGAACTCGTCTCGACGATGTAACGATCGGATGTCCTACACTTTCAACCGGTATGTCCTTCTCGGTACCCGTCCAGATCAAGCTAAACGGTGTAGGATGGGCTGTGTCACGTCAATGAGGCTGGCTGTACGGAAACACTTTGCTAGACGTGGAGCCTTATAAAAGCTTCATTGCTTCAAATCACTAAATGCTTCACGAATGCACAAGAACTCGTCTTGGCATTTAAAGTACGAAGGTGTCTTCCTGAGCGCCTGCACATGTGCTATGGACCAAAGCAGAAAAATGAACGCGCGTTGGTTGCATGGGTCACATTCAGATGCCGCATAGCTACATTTCTTGATGAATACGTGCACAGTGCAGCCTACCTAACGCTTCGTAGATGCAATATCACTTTGTCGTTTCAACAGATATCACGGACTCCGTCGAGCCGTGATTCGTCAATCGACATCTGACAATATTTTGTTGGCATTTGCGCCATGGCCGAGAGCATTGCTGGCTGTTTGATGACGGTTACCTTGCAGCTTTCCGATTTGACGAACCTTAATGACGAATCAGGTAAATTCTACCAATACAACCTCCGCGATCTGCTGTGTTTGTGAGCAAATTATAATTATTTCAGATTGGCATCTTACAAAATGAATGCATCACGCTGCTTTCTAAATAGAATGTGGCTGGGATCGCATTCCCGGCTATGGAATGGTGGTTGTGAATAGCCCTGCTGACGCTCCAGCTTCTGGTCGGTATGAATTGATATAAGGATACCGGGCTATACCGACCAGAAGCACGTACGTGTATATTAGATTAATGCTCACGGTATCACGCACTTATAGGAAGATGTGCTGCAAGTGTGTTATAAACAAGGACTTTACTGTGATTCAACGAGTTGTAGCAAACACCAATGATAGCTTGTGAGTTGCGCTTCAAGCGACACTAAAAGAGGCAGACCATGTTTCATACTAAATTTGCGTCTCACAGTTTACTGCAGTACAAATATGAGATGAACGAGCTGGATGTATAACGATTAGCCACGGAAGGACAGCTAACACGCGATAGTTGACGTCGTACTCGCACACATGCATGCGTGGCCATATCTAGATAGGGGCTCTTTCCGCCTTATAATGAATCAAGTGCGAGTATGAGCTGCGAGTGGCAATTCGTTTGCCATGTTTTGGAAAGAGAAAAATGACCCTGATTGACATATGGTGGTACGAAGTTCAAGGTTCAAGTATGGCAAGCCTTAAACATACCAATTGTATTCATCACTATAAGCGTCCGTAGCGCATCGTCGGCAGATCGTCCACGCCCGCAAGAACCCTGGTAATTCGACTCCGCCACGAAGCTAAATTGGTAGCGTCCCAATATGTCATGCATCGTGGTAAGGACATTCTATGTGAAAATCTGTTTTCAAGAGACCGTTCACTGCTACTCTTCCCAACCGATTGTCAAAGCTTTAGTGCCTAATTACCCGCACGTGAAAGAAAGCTTATTGCGACGAGAAGAAGAACAGCAACCATGCAATTGTTACGCTCATTTTAATCTGAAAAGACAGTGATCAACGATTATGTGGTACTGATGCTCTTTTCATGGTATATGGCAAACAAATCCCGATTCAGTATGTGTCGAACGGGCGTGGCGGAAGCCTCAGTAAGCGAGATGCCACTGACGTACCTCGTCGGTATCAAATTTTGTTATACATCTGCTTATGGGTTTGAGAACGATAGCATATAATACTGATAAAGCTCAAGCACAGCCGCTTGGATGGATGAGGGGTGAGAAGGTGAGGTGTTTATAAGTACGCGAACAACTCACTATATCCTTTCAGACCACTCGGACAGAGCAGCAGGTAACATCGTGAAGTTATATTCGTCGCAGTATCGTTGCACTGGTGCCGAGACTGCTTGCTGTCGTTAATCGTGTTGAACAGTGGAATTGGGAAATTGGTGTCCAATCCATCAACATTGCGACAAAATCCACCTAGTTGTCACGGTGCGCTCTTTGTAAAGTTCGCGATGTCTGGAGTTATGACAACATTCGCTGTCCTAAAGACTAACGTCTTGCCCATGTTGCAGATTGGGGTTGATCTGTAAAATGTCTTATGCAAAAGACCCCAGAACTGACGACCACATATTCACGAGCCCATCGTACATCAGCATTTCGTTCGACGTTTGTGTATAAATTTGCTTGTCTCTGAATATTTCTGTTCATGCAGATTGACTATGTATCGCGAGCGAGCTTTAATTGGTCTGAGGTGTGATCAGAATGGACCGCCGTCGGGTCTGATTTCTGTCCAACGAAAGCCGTACAACTTTTCAAGCTCCTGAATGCAATTCAAATGCTGTCGTGGTTCACCTGCAGTGGTGATAGCGCAGTGCAATCGAGCGGGTTGCTGCATGCAAAAAGGAAGACATTCAAGACCTGAGAAAAGTATCTTCCACTTGACGTCATGAGCGACAGCATAATAAAAATTGACGGTCAAGAGGGAACGAGAACAGGGCGTACATAACGATCGAAGACTGACGACTTGATTGTAGCGCCGGTGTTCTTGACATCCTGAGTCTGAAGGATCATATTGTTGTACGGCGTGTATGCAGCGCTCTCTCTCAACAATGCCAGACATTATTATTAGCACCTCGTCAATAAGTCTAATTTGTCAATGTCTTCATGATAGAAATGCCGTGTTTTTCGTACTACACACCTTAAAGGGGTTTCCACAATTATTTTGGTAGCGGATCTTGCGAAAGAAAGGAGAGCGTATGACCAATTTATCCTGTATCTGATATGAGACCGGGCCTTGGGTGTGGTCTGCACATGTCAATTTGGTCGATTATCAAAGAGCCAATAAATGCGACGCTTTTAACCAGTGAGAGCCGGTACAAAAGGGCGTAGCCTTCTCAAATCGTGGGTGACCCCAGCCGTCTCACGCTGCTAAAACGAGATGAAAAAAATCCGCACTGGACTAGTATCGCCATAGGAGCAGACAATTGTCTACTACCTAAAATAGTCCGACGTAATCCGCCGAGCAATCCAGTCATGGGACGGCAGCCGCTAAAGCAGGGCGGTGGGCGCAAAGCGCGCAAGAATGTGCGTACGTCCACGACGTTCGAGACGCGGCTGGCGACGATCAAGCACTTTGAAGAGAGCGGCGACATGACGTCGACCGTCGAGCACTTCTTTCCGGCGCTATCGGTGCAGGCCAAGCGCAGCAAAAAGCGCGTCATCTACAGCTGGGTCAAGGACCGCGACAAAATCGAAAAGGCCTGCGAGTCTACGAGTTCCGCCAAGGCGCATCGGCTGCGCAAGCCGGGGCTCGGCCTCACACTGAGCTGTGAGGCCGAGAAGTGCATTGTCGTTTGGCTGCGCTCGCTACAGAAGCTGGGCGTGCCCGTGACCGGCGCCATGCTGTCGGAGCACGCCTTGGAGGTGGCCAAGGAGCTGGGGATTGACAGCACACTCTTCACGGCGTCAAGTCCTTGGCGAAAGAAGTTTCTAGAGCGACACAACCTGAGCATGTAAATGACAGCGGATCAGATGAGCCAGCGTCGGTACTCCGCTGCATCATCAAGACGCCCGGGTGTGGCTGTCAGCTATGTACCGACCTGCGGCGTTCCTGCTGCATGTCTTGTCGTGTAGTTGGGATCGTGAATTTAATGTATAACTATTGGAGGTACCCGTTACTGTACCTGTTTTGTCGTCGAAATCCGACGAGCTCACGTGCTCTCCCATGTCCGTGAAACTTCCTTTACGCGGCTTACCCATGTGCTCCCCAAACAGATGCGATCGTCTAGGTGGACGACTGAGGGCGTACTGTAGCGCGATACACGCAATTCCTCTCAATTAATCGTTTTTGTACAATTTTGACGGCATCCAATCGGAAAGTCAAATCTGTCGGTACTAATCAGTGACGCTTTCAGCGTACACCGTGACGGTCCACAAGCGCTCACATGAACTACTCGCGATATCCGTACAACATCACGAACAAGCATCTCCAACATAACAAACGTTCTTTCACGCATATCTGCTCTAATATAAACGAAAAAATGATAAGGAGACGGATTCACGGCAAAATGAAGACAAAAAAAGAAACAGACTATGACGCAGTGGACAGCATCTTGGCGGAGGTGATACACGCCGACTATATCGCCATTGCTATAGCCACCGAATAGCTGGAAGTACGACAATAAGCTGCCGAATGGGCTACGAAGTCCGCTTGTAGCAATAGAAATGAGGCCCTATAATCGATCTAAATATCTTGAAGCTTCTGTAGAATGGGATGGAGGGACCCGAAGAATGGCTTGTATCTTTCCATCAGGTAATGTCACGCTTCCTGCCTACTCGTCAGAGTAACTGGTACCATACTAAAAGGAATCATAACAGTTCGAAATCGCAGTATCGATACGCATAAGATGTGGCCATACCTCTAGCGCGCTAAAACTCTTCCTTTCAATCCATTTTGCAAAGCGTGGCAAATTCCAAACCATTCGCACGGTACTTTCACAAGGATGCGCTCTGTCAAAACATCGTACGGATGCGAAGCGAAATGCAAGGCGTGGGTGGGCTCGGACGCTTTTCACCTCTGTGGCAATCTACATCCCGAGCAAAGGACAGGATCCAAAAGATTTGCTTGCGCGAGATTTTTTCGTGCGAAAGAAATTGTGCTCACACATCTTTATCCGAACACCGTAGGGAAGACTTTTGATGCGTGTTCGAATATTTTCGTTAGTGCGCGTGTCCGATCAGGTGATACAAACAATCCATCAGTGCGGCTTAATATACACTGAGCTCACATTGCCGACGTAGACGCACGTTGCTGACATTGACAGCGTCTAGCGCGATAAGGTGCCAATCGGGCATTATGTAGAGCAGATACATTATATGGCGACCAAGACAAGGCTCACATGCTTGATACCGATGCCTAGATAGTTCCATTGTGGTCCTGCGACAGGGTGCTATGTATGACTGTGCATGCAAGATAAGCATTCATGAGTTTGTTTGCGTGAATGTAAGCATCGCTTGATACAATACAAAAGCACTCTATTCATTGTAGAGTTCTAAGGCAAAGTTTCCAACATATGATGTGTCTAGTTTACCTGGATTGCAAACATACTTACTACATATACAGGACACTTTATGGAATCGTTGCCAGAGCACTGATCGCCGTGTATAAGGCCTGGATGTAACGGGGTAGCCCGTTACATGAAATTGTCATTAAGAACAATTTGACAATATAGAATATTAAGGCGGATATTCTTTTAACAATATCACAGGCATGGTGATATTGTTGAGATGACCGAAGGGTCTACTCATTGGTTGATATCGTGATGATATCAACCCACCAATCGCTACTAGACGTGCGCAATGGGTGGTGAGTAGACGTCATCATTCAAATAGTTACATCAATGTAATTAAGTCAGGACAACCGAGATTCAAGGAGTTATATGACTTAATTATATTAATATGGTTTTACTTTTACCAAGAGACTATTCTGACTACTTAGTCTCCTTTCCTTCCTCTGTGTTCCCTTAAAACACCGAGCAGGGTACTGTCGACCACTGTCGTCAGTTGAAGTTCACTCCGTACTGGTCAACCAGTACGTAGTCAACAGTGCCCCGTTACACCTGGTAGCACTTTGTAGTCCGTCCAAGGACCACAACCCCATCGCCCTTCATGAACATGTTGGACGATGTAGATGGCGACAGCTTTCACGGAACCCGTGAAAGCTACTCCCATTTGAGTGACATCGAATGGAGTGCGATCGAACGAATGAGCTCGACCGTTGGCGAGGAAGCCATATGGGCCATGCTATCCTCAAGGGATAGGGACCAGCAACATGCCGTCATTAGCAAGTTCTTGCAACGAGAACTTGATGAGTCGCGAGCGCAGGTGACCTTGTTACAACAACAAGATCACCAGCGGACCGAAGCACTGAGACAACAACAGTCTCAGTCCGCAGAGCCGACGCGTGAGCGTCGACGGGAGTCTCTAAACTAGAGGTCTCCAAGTATCGGGGAGTTGTGGAAGACTCCCTGTTGAGATGGTTCGTCGAGCTGGACGATGCCATCGATGCTCGTCGCATCAACGATGAGCGAATGCAAGTCTCATTCGCTCAGTCTAACCTGGCAGGAGAAGCCAGAGCTTGGGCCCTGAACCTCAAGTTACACGACCCAAACGTGTTTGGGTCGTTAGATGTCTTCAAGACCCTGCTCAGTGAGACGTTCGAGCCGCCCAGAGCAGAGTTGAGAACACTATCTGAACTCCTCGGAATCAAGCAGGGTAAGCGTAAGGTTCACGCTTACGCTCAGCACGTACTCTACCTTGCAAGCTGCATGGTAGTGAACCCTGTGAGTGAGTTTGTGTTGATCACAATCTTCATTCAAGGGCTTTCAGACGGTCCCGTTTGGGACCACCTGTTCCGCAGAGATCTAAAGACGCTCTCAAAGGCAATCTTTGCAGCGGAGCAAGAAGATTATAGCGTGAGACAGGCTCGCGCTACGTTGACCCCACATCGTCCACAAAGACGATTAGCAGTCGGAGGTCCAGAACCAATGGACCTCTGTAATGTCGAGGGCGAGAAACCTCGCCCTGCGAATGACAAGCGAATGGTGAGATGCCATCGCTGTCATAAACTGGGACACTATGCATATGAATGCAGTATCCCCTGCTCAGAACCTCGCGGTGCTGAGCGCAGTGTTCACCCACCAGCAAGAAGAACTGAAGGGCGAGGGTCCGTTGCTGTTGCGAAGTCGCAACGGCGTGGTGGACAATCAAAAAACGGTCGGGATCAGTAGGGGCGGAGCGCCCTACTGATCCATAAACATCAAGAGAATTTGCAAATCTCCTGAAGAAGGTTGCTCCCGACACACAATTTATGTGTGTCTCTGCACCTGGTGATGAGGTGTCACTTATCACTTTGAAGTTAGAAGTGACAAAAGACTTGTCACTTCGCGCCCTAGTTGACTGTGGGGCGTCGAACAATTTTGTTCGTCGCCAGTCGCTAGAGGCAGGAAGTTTTAGCTTCGTGGAGCGGGAGATCCCTCCAACGAAGATGACGGTGCGCCTAGCGACAGGCGCATCGATCACTGTGAAGAAACGTGTAGTCGGAATCCACTACACGTTAAAAGGCGAACAGTACGATGATGATTTCATCGTGCTTGACCTAGATGACAAGTTCGACGTCATCTTAGGGTTGCCTTGGCTCAGGAAATACTAGCCAAGGGTGAGTTGGCAGTATCGATCGGTTACGATACCTGCTACTTGTTCCTCAGATAATCACCTGAAGAATATCTTGGAACGCCCACACTCACGTGGGTGTACTACGATCGAGTGCGATGGCCTCACTTTTGGTACGGTCGTTAGCACGACTGTACAAGAACACAATGTAGATGATCACTACATTGTGGAGAAAGCTCACCCAGATCCTGTAAAAGTGACTTCCCAGGAGGTAATCGAGACACTGAATGTCTTGGTTAATGATGGATCAAGCGTAGGCGCTTACACGCTTGATCTGGTTGCGCCTCCGAAGTTAAGTTCGGAGATACATCAACTGCCGACGCTAGAACCGAAACGGTTCTTGCGTGATCTGCGTAGTGGCAAAGTCAAGCAGATCTGTGTACTCGTCGCGGAGGACGAGTACGTTACCGATATTCGATCGGCAACGGTGTTTACTGAGACCGAGAGGGTTCTCAGCAGTTCATCGATGGACGAAAGCGTCATCGATGAGAAGGCTCGGATCGAGAGATATGAATCTCAATCCTGGGAGTCGCTTCAGGCAAATCCTTATTATGAAGATTTGATCGAATTCAAGGATGCGTTCCCTGAATCCGTTCCTTGCGAGTTGCCTATGGACAAAGGCACTCGACACGAGATCGAGCTCAAACCGGGCTCGAAATATTGTGTCATGAAGCAGTGGCCACTGCCTCGTGAACAAGTGATAGCGATCGATAAGTTTTTCACCGATCGCTTAGCAGCGGGCCATCTGAGGGAATCGACATCCCCTCACAGCTCTCCGACCTTCTGTGTGCGAAAGGCCACAGGAGGATGGCGGATAGTGCACGCGTTCAACAAGTTGAATGCTGCAACAGTACCGGGTCATACGCCGATACCGAGGAAGGACGTAATCATAGATGGTATGTCACAGAGTACCATCTTTTCGCCCATGGATCTGATGGAAGGATTCTATCAGATCCTCATGCGTGAACGGGACATCCCGTACACAGCAGTGAGCACCCCCAGCGGTATGCTGTGGAAGTGGCTAGTGATGCCACAGGGGATGAGTAATGCCCCTGCTACTTTCAACAGATGTGTTACAAATCTGTTGAGACCGGTGCGAGAATTCGCACCGAGTTACTTCGACGATGTGTTCGTCCATAGCCCGGCTATGGACGGAAAGACGGACATTGAAGTTCACCGAACTCACGTTCGTCAAGTCCTTCAACTTATGCGCAAGCATAAGTTGTATGCCAACCTCAAGAAGTGTATATTCGCGGCAAGCGAAATACCACTTCTTGGGTGCATCG